TTTAGGATACCTAAAGAGGACCCACTGTACGCCGCGTTACTTTGCCTCAGACGGTTCTCCATAGATAGGCTATTTAGATATCCTCTAGAGGGCCTCTCGATCGCCTCAACAAGATTTCTGTTCAGGTAGGTTCAGAGCTTCAACCCTTTTCATCTAATTTAACTTATCTAACGTTAGTGGAAGTATAAAACTTATATATATATATTCATGGTATGCATGTTATCTTTTCGTCACATCTTCATGTTTTTGACGATGAGATTTTAATTATGATGCATTTTAAAAATTTGGTGAAATGTTTCAAGTTCTGTATTAATTAAAAATAAGATGGTGAAAATTCACTATGATTTTAGAAATTTAACATTCTGTTATTGTAATGTATTCCACTTTCTCTATTAGTAGGATAGAATAAGCTTTTTAAAAAACAAAATTGCTATTAGCGCGAAAAAAATCATGGTTGTACTTATTTGGTTTCTGAACAAATCTAAATAGTTTTAGACTCCAAATTGTGCTAACTAATGGCCCAAAAAAATAGAAAATGAGGTCAAAAATGGTTGTTCGCGTCTAGAAAAAAACTGGAAAGTCGGACAAAAAAGTTGTATTGTTGAAAAAGATGGACAATTTCAAGACGAAGAAAATGAGCTCTAGTGGGATAAAATTGGCCCAGCTGTTTTTTCGCAATTTGCCATAAAGTGCTCTTTTGAACCGTTTTTTTTTAATCTATAACTCGCGTTCATTTGAATATTAAGACTTAAAAATTGAACACAACTTATATTTTGTGTCCCTTAACATCCATACCAAATTTCAAGACGATCGGTTGTAAACTTTTTGCAAACCGCTGTAAGAAGCAAAAAAAGGTCCCTCCGCAAAAAAGTTGTACGTGGCTGGTTTTTCAACATATTACCATTTTTCAAACTGCATTGTACTCGTCGAGAGTTATTCTATAACCTACCAAAACGTCGTTCCGCTCGACATTCCGGAAGTACGCGAAAAACTGTTGTCAAAAAGCAGCTATTTTCCGTGGATGCGGCGGCGCGGCGAGCCGCTCGGAAACTCCGGAGCTATGATGCGGAGAGGGGGCATGGCCTACGGCGGCAACTTTTTTTGTCCGACTTTCCAGTTTTTTTCTAGACGCGAACAACCATTTTTGACCACATTTACCATTTTTTTGGGCCGTTAGTTGGCACAATTTGGAGTCTAAAACTATTTAGATTTGTTCTGAAACCAAATAACTATACCACCATGATTCTTTTCGCTCTAATAGCATTCTATCCTATACTATATTACCACCCTCCTCCTCTCAGATCTTTTTTGACTCCTCTTCAATCCGCTCTAGTGCTTTTTGTGCTCCTCAGTTCTCATAGATCTCATAGTCCACTACAGAATTTTGTCTATACTAGTCCACTTAGCGGTCCTCTCTAGTCACATAGTGTGTGATATTTCTGTGCGTACTTAAGTTTTTTGATCAACTCAAGTAATTTTCATCCCGATAGGCTTAAATTTTGTAGGATGTTTCGAGTTCAACGTTCAAGCTGATAGTTTGAATTTGGATAGTTTTTATCGGAGAGAAAAGTTTTGCTTGCATCCCAAGTGGAAATAATTTTATTCGATAAATAGGTATAATTATTTCTAAAAAATAGAAAATAAGTCTAGTTTTGAGACAAGTAAGAAGACTTATTATTCATAACTGTCTATTACAAGTTAGTATTCAAACTTTTTAATCCTTATTATTAGTTATTATAATTTTTTTTTGTGAAATCAAACAGTACTACCGTGCCCATAAAGATCATTATTTTTTAATATTTATTTTTATTCTGATATAAAATAAAAATAATAAAAATGATATGTGACTAAAAATTATTGATAGATCCGAAAATTTAAGAATTAAATAGGAATAATTAGCCATAAAACTTCTTTCTAGTTACTACACTTACTACTTTTTTCGATGTTTCTATAATGATATTTATGACGAAAAAAATATTAGTAACGAATAATAGCACACATTAAACTTTATTATAGTCTCAGATCTGGTTTTCATTAAATATTGTTACTAGTTTTTTTTTCGTTACATACAAAAAAATTTTCTGCTTAGGATTTTCACTATAACACTCTAAGAAAAAGAAAGAGATTATTTGGCTTTAAGTTTTAACACATACATTTTACACGTTTGTGTGTGAATACGCATGACTTGATAAAATACATTTTTTTTGTATCATACATTTTACTCTGTCATGCAATGCAGATGCTCTGTAATACAAAATGGATGTAAAGATAGAAAAAAATCGTTTTTATCATTTTTATGTGATCTATCAATGTGGAATGATCTATTCCGAATGAATGAAGAAATACGGGTACACTAGATTTAATTACTTAAATACAAGCTGATTTTTTCTTTCACCAGCGCATGCTTAAGGTTGTTCTGTCTTCGTGGCAGAATTATAGGAAATCGATGAAACTCTTCATACCCAAGCGGAGATTTTTTTTGTAATTAAGTAACGAAAAAAATAATAATGAAGAATCAATAGTAATATTTTATAAAGTCCAGATTTGAGACTATAATAAAGTTTAATAAGTATAAGTACTATTGTTAATTATTATTTTTTATCATTTTTTTTACAATTTTATTTTGTCATGAATGTCATTATAGAAACATCGAAAAAAGTAGCAA